AGACAGTTGTATGTGTATACATTTTTAAAAAAATTTTATTTATTGGAGAGGAAGGCAGGGAGAGCACAAATGGTGGAGGGGCAGAGGGGAGAGGGAGAAGCAGATTCCTCACCAAGCAGGGAGCTTGATGCAGGGCTTGATCCCAGAACCCCAAGAGCATGTCGTGAGCTGAAGGCAGACACTTAACTGAGCCACCCAGGTGCCCCTACATGTGTAAATGCTTTAATTTGGAGATTATCTTTTTTTTTTTTTAATTTGTAGTAGAGACCGACTTTTTAAATTACCTGATACCTACTGCCAGTAGTAGAAGTGTCAAGAGCCCAGTATTCTAATACCATTAGCCAGAGTGACTGTTAGGGAAAAAAGGCCATTAGTATCATTCTTGTAACCAGACTATAAAGGTATTGTTGCCAAAAACTATCCTTTGGGAATTAGAAATAGTTTTGGTTTGTATCAGCCTTGCTTGAGATTAGACTGTGTGGTTAGAAAAAAGAATAAGCCAGTGGGACAAGTATATGGAAGTGAGACTAAGTTGATACACACTATAAGGAATTGATAAGCATTACCAATGCTTTTAACTATAGCTGAAGGAGGAAGAGATTTGCTGGACTTGCTTTTTCCTTTCCAGTTTGTCTAGTTTTTGTTTTTTCCTTATTGTAATGACTAGGGCCTCCAGTACATTGTTGAATAAAAATTGAGAGCAGACACGCTTGCATTCCAGACTGCAAGGGTTTAACACTTTCACTATTAAGCATATATAATATTGGCAGTAGGTGTTTCGTAGATGCTCTTTATCAAGTTGAGGAAGTTATTAGTTTACCAGGTAGCTTTTTAAAAATCTTGATGTTGGATTTTGTCGAGTGCATTTTCTCTATAATTTTTTTTTAAGTCTAGCTTTGTGAATTACACTGATTTTGAAATGTTAAATCAACATTGCAGTCTTGGAATAAACCTCACTTGGTCATGATTGAATGCCAGTATGAATCCAACCAACTGAATCCAACAATAATCCTCTCAGGACCCCAAGATCATGACCTAAGCTACCCAGGTGCCCCTTAAGTACTGCTTTAGATGCATCCTACATTTCTGTTTTCATTCAGTTAACCACTTTTTCATTTCCCTTTTGATTTCTTCTTAGATCCATAGTTTATTTAGAATTACATTATTTGGTGTCCAAATATTTAGAGATCTTCCAGATATTTTCGTATTATTTCTATTTGAATTCCATTGTGGTCAGAGAAATATTTTTACAATTTGAGCTCTTTTGAATTTATTGAGATTTGATTTATGGCCCAGACTATGGCCTGTCTTGACAATGCTGCTTGAAAAATCGTGTATTCTGTATTGTTAGATGGAGTGTCCTCTAAATGTCAGGTCAAGTTGGTTAAGTCTTATATAACTTTACTGATCAAACTTAGTAAGTTTTCAGTTATTCCATTTTCTATCTCCCTTTCCTACCTTTCATTCAGTTTCTGTGACGTGTTTGTATGTTTTGGTGTTTTCTTTTTAGTGGTTTCTATTGTTATGTCTTCAAGTTTGCTAGCCTTTATTCTGCAGTGTCTTTTTTTTTAATTTTTATTTATTTATGATAGTCACACACACACACACACAGAGAGAGAGAGAGAGAGAGAGAGAGAGGCAGAGACACAGGCAGAGGAAGAAGCAGGCTCCATGCACCGGGAGCCCGACGTGGGATTCGATCCCGGGTCTCCAGGATCGCGCCCTGGGCCAAAGGCAGGCGCCAAACCGCTACGCCACCCAGGGATCCCCTATTCTGCAGTATCTTATCAGCTGCTAATACCAGCCTGTATATTTTCACAACAGTGAGATCTCTGGGTCTTTTTTCTATCTGCCGTATCTCTCATTAGCATGCTCAATCTTTCCCCTACCTTTTTGAACATAGGAGGCTTATTTATAATGTTTTAATGTCTTTGTTCTGTAATTCTATCTTCTATGTTATTTCTGTTGACTGATTTTTATTTTCATTATGGGGTTGTATTTTCCGGCTTATTTGTACATCTGGTAATTTTTGTAGCTCAGGTGTTTTGAATTTTATGTTGCTGGGTACTAGAAAAAATTCTATGTTATGTTTATTTAGAATATGTGTGACATAAGTTTATTATATATATACATATGTATATGTATACACACACACACACAGGGGAATACAAACATAAGAGACAGTTTCTCCACCCTATCCCTGTGTCACTTGAAGAAGTCAGGAAGTTCTGTGTTCATAGTGAATAACCAGTTTTAATTTGCATTTTAATTTTTATACACCCGTAGGACAGAGAATTCTACTCCCATGATTTTTGTAAGGCTCCCAATATCTGAACTACTGCCAACATCTTTAAAGCTAAATTAATTTCACTAGAAAAAAGGAAGTACGTATGATACTTGAGGCATAAATACTTGGAAATTAAGAAAACCCAAAATATCCATGTTGGGTTGGAAGCAGTGGTTTAAGAAGCTAAAAACTTGTGCTGCTTTCAGAGGGAAAACTCTTTAACTCCCCAGCTTCTTAGCAGGTCAGATGATTCCCTGAAAGGCAACCGGAGTTTGGGGCTAGGTAGTGTGCAGTTCCTACATGCTGGCTGTGCCCGGCTTCCTTTGAAGTACTTTGAAGCTGAGCAGAGGCACGGTGAAGAAATAGAGGAGGTAGGAGATTTGAAGAGCATCTGAATTGCCTCCCTCCTCCTTTTGTATTATTAAACAGAAAACCACGTTGCCACTAAGGTGAGCCACGGTTGCTGACCTGCCAGGCACCACCCACCCCTCCAGTGAGGCCAGGAAAGGGCCAGTTGTCAGCTTTGCTTGCGGAAGTTGTACATTGTACTATATGAGTCTGCTTTAAGAGTTAGAAGGATATTCCTGAACCAAGGAAAACAAGAAAATACAATCCATATTTTTCAGTGGTCACCATGATGAATGTGTTCAAGACTTCGGGGAAAATCAAAGTGGCTTCAAGCATTTTCAGACTGCTTTACATTTTAGACTCTTTTTTTAAAGTTAAGAATGAGGAAATACTACCTTAAAGCCACGTGAAAAATATACCAGGATCTTAAGTGATTGAGAAGGGCAGGTCCTCAACTATAGAAAAGGGATGAAACTTAAAGTACATGAGAAAAAGCAAGACATCTTAGGACACTAAAATCTGAATTCACCTATTATAAAAGTCACCTTTTGTGAATTTGACCTTTTGGCTTTTTGCTGAAGAGGTCTGTGGCTGTTTAGGCTGTATGAAGAAGGCTTCAGACTTACCAGCCAAGTGGTGTGAAATGCAGGTGGCCTGATTTCTGCCACTACTTTCGCAGCCCCTTTTCCTTTCAACCGTTTTCCAACTGTAAATGGTGGCCAGTGCCATCTGCCCTTCTTACAATGGTATTTTAACTTACATACCATAGAATCTTTTGAACTGTGCTTTGCAGTTAGTGGGGTCTTTCCATTTGCTGATTTTATATCAGATGCTGAGTTGAAAAGGTGTCACACTGCTCTTGCAGGTGAGGAAATGGGGAAGTTTCAGGATCAAGAAAGGTTAAGTGACTTGGCCAATGTCCCAAGTACAAGGATCCAGGCAAAACCAAAAGGCTTCTAATTCCAAATTTAGTGTTCCTTCTGCTGGAATGTGCTGCCTCTCTTCAGAATTGGTGAATTTTGGGGCCAGTCCTCAGCTAATGCTTTATTTATTTTGCCTCACTCAGCAAGTAATGTACAAAGTTATGTTTGTAGGTGGCTTAGTGGGAAGTTTTCCTATCAAGGGGACAGGTTCTAGTATGTGGGACTGGCCCAGTCTGGCAGGTGAGGAGATTGAGAATGCTGGTTGTAGTGTTTTTTTTTTTTTAAAGATTTATTCATTCATTCAGAGAGAGCCAAGAGAGAGGCAGAGACACAGGAGGAGGGAGAAGCAGGCTCCATGCAGGAAGCCCGATGTGAGACTCGATCCCGGGTCTCCAGGATCACACCCCAGGCTGCAGGTGGCGCTAAACCGCTGCGCCACTGGGGCTGCCCTGGTTATAGTTTTCTCACAACTCCCCAACTATACTTTTGCAAAAAGAAGTATAAATCAATTCAGTTAATGTCGAAGAGGGCAAAATGTTGCTAAGAAATGTCCTTGGAGATTGGTCCTCACAGCTTTAATTCTAGGAGGGTGTCTGACTTTACAGAGTCAGCTTAGTCATTAAGAGCAGAGGTCCAGGGCTTCAGACTTCCAAAACAACTACAAAGGTTGTAGCAGTTGCTTGCTGAGATAGCTTGTAGAGCATTTAATGGCTGAGCCTTTAACACAGGATTTGTTAAACTACAGATTTAAATAGTAATGATTTTTCATGACTAAATCATTCAAGGAGGTTGACACTCATTTGTTTCCTTAAGAAAAAAAATTAAACCCCAAAATTAAATTTATCAAATGGCCTGACATCTCCCGCATTGATTTCCAACTCTCCCCCTTCCCTGTCCGGTTGAACCAATTGGAAATTTAAACCAAATGATTATGTAGTTTTCATTTTCTAGCTAATTGACTTCTAAACTCAAAGTAAATCACAGCAGTGCTGGTTCTGGTAAGAGCACACATAAAGATGATAAAGAATAGGCAGGAGACCTGGGCAGGCTCTCTCTATCCGGAGGATATTTAGGGTAAGTCTGTATGCTCTTCAGCTACATTTAGTTCTTAATTCCCAGTGTGCTGAATGTCGGGGTGTGATGACTTCTGTGAAAGAGCAGCTTATTATCAACAGCCCAGACTTTGTATATACAGTAGATGTTGTTCCCTGCCCCCACCCCCGTGCATACACCTTTGTCATGGCACTGAATGGACTACACTGTAATAACTGTCTTTCCTTTTGGGACTGTGATACATATAATGCTCCTGTTCAACTTTGTGAACCAAGACCTAGCACATACTTGATATTCAAAGAAGTTTTTGATGTATCCAAAATTTTACAGAAAAAAGAGAAGTACACCAGTATTTTATTTTAAAGTCTTTTTTTTTTCTTTTCACAAAGGATTTGCTGTAAGTCTTCAAGTCATCTTGTCCAATCCAAAAGCCGTATTTAAGCGTCGTGGATCCCAGCCAGGGATGCAAGAATCTGATTTTCTAAAACAGATAACAACAGTTGAAGAACTGGAACCAAAAGCAAATAACTGCACCAAGGTATTCATTTCACTTGTGCTGCTTGACCTTGTTGAGTGTCAGCGTTAAGAAGTGTGGCTACCCAAAAGATTTCCCTCCTCTATAGGTTCTCGTGTGGCACACGCGGACAGAGAAGGTTAATCTAGCCAACGAGCCAAAGTACCACCTGGACACAGTGAAAATTGAGGTATAAACTGAACTGAAGCAGCAGCTGGTGCAGTCTGCCTCGCTAGTGGATGTGGAAGAGGAGTTCGGAGGTTAGGCTGCAGAACATTCAGGTATTGTTCACTTCAGTAGGACAGCCTTTATTGTCAGCTGATGGACATCTGTTTAAACAGAGCCTATCAGTTCATACAGCTGATGGGATTGGTATAAAGTCTATGTTTTTGTCTTTGTTCTGCATGTTTTTCCTACAACTAAACTGGAAGTTCTTTGTACAGTACAACTAGTGACACTGCAGGATACCGTTGTGAGTATCTTATGTACTTTTTTTTTTTTTTTCCCATTTGGCCTTATAATTGGTAGAACGGAGCAGGTTTTAGAAACAAATGACAGGTATTTTGTCAACTAAATGTTCCCAGTTCCTCACTTTGCAATGTTAAGTAATATTTGTAAGGTTGGTGGCAGTATACATTGTAGGAAATAAAACCCACAAAAATAAAAAGGTCTATGGATTCATCTGTTTAATATAGGGATATAACATTTTGTCAATACTAGGCACCATAAAATGTAAACACAATTACTGTCATAAACCTGGATATACCTTCAAGGATTGAAAGTGGCTTTGTTTAGTTACCCTGTTTGCATTATAGTGCAGAGAAAGGTCTTCATGTTATCAGCACTATGTACATAAGAAGAGATCCAAATTACAAGAGGCAGAATTTGAGGTTTTTTAAACATTCGTTAAACTAAGTTTTGTAGTAACATCCAGGTTTATCTTCCTTTCACTAACCACGTTCCCTGTTAAGCACATCATAACAACAGCACAGTGAAGTGAATGATGAAATAAAAGAACTTTGATACACTAGAAAACAGTGCTCAGTGATACATTTACATTCTATTTATATGATTAAACATTTGATCATACAGTACCATCCTACAGGATTACTGGCTAATTTGGGGGTGGGGTTTATACTGTTAGAGGTATTACTAACATGATAACTACTTCCCTTATATGCAGACATTAGAGCTATAATTTTATTGAGACTAAAAAACTGATTATGCAAGTTGACTGAGCAGCTTCTCAAATAATGTGGTTTATGAAATCATGGGAAATGAGCAAAGCTGCCCTTGACATAAAATGGTTTCTCAACCTGCTTTTCACACCAAATTTAATCAGTACAGACCAACACGGTCAGTCAGGTAATTCTTAATATGAACAAATGGGGAAAAAGAAAAAATATATGTACATGAAGAAACAAGGGAACTAGATGCGTTTTAGCAAGGAATGTCAGGTGGTAGTTCTGGATGAAACTTGCACTGCAGTTTTCATTTCCACAGCTGTGTGCTGAGAGTCTGACCCGATGAGCTTCCAGACCATCCTGCTGTTGTGTTGGGGGGCTGGCCAAAACCCAATGTTGGGTTCGTACTACTGATACTCATGCCAGCCATTTGCTGATTCATCTGTGAAACATAAAAAGCTTATTTAAGAGGCTTACTTCACTTTTAATTCTTGTTTCGTTAGCCACAGTTAGACATTTTTAAGTTACCCTATTGTATTAGAAGCTGCCTTTATTTGATGTTAGTCAGATAATGACATTTAATAGCAATTATAAGTACTTTTCAACATGTGAAAATTAGTCAAATCACGGGGGGTAAAAAGTAGACTACCAAACAATTATTTCCCTAGAGAAAGCAAGTAGCTACTTCATTTCACTTTTTGTTCATTTCCTTCCACTTTTTTTTCCACTTTTTTTTTGTTAGCATTGTCCATAAAGTGATCTCAATTATATTCTATTTATTCATTTTCAAGACTCCCATTTCTTGTCCCCCAAAGATTAAACACAACTGAAAGAAAGTACCAAAACAATCTTTGAATCTGAGTCCACTATTCTTTCAATTCTACCTGGATGTTGTGCTTTAACTGTAAGGACTGAGGAAATTTTAGAAAGCTATTCTTCTGTCTTTATTAAAATCTTAAATGGTTCTACATACCTATTAATATTTTTATAAAGGTCTTAAAGCATACCTTTTCTTTTGCTCAGTTAACCACTACACATCTAAAATTAATTTTCATGGTATAACATTACATGTATTTTTATTCCAAACTGGAATGATATATGTATAGGAGCATCCTAACCCTTTCCCTGTGGTACTTCTCAGATTCATATGGCAAGATTTATCACTAAGTACAGAGCTGATTCAAAATCAATGCTCAGGGTTGGAATATATTCTTAATAAAGTTCATTTGTTATTTTGCAGACACTGATGTTTACAGCCTTGCTGATGAGGCATTAGTGTTCAGCTCTTCTTACCTACTAATGGATGTTATAACCACCTTGCAGTGAGCAGGTGCTGGAAAATGCCTGGAAATAAGGGCCAACGTTAACTCCTTATGGATGTGTCTAGCCCCTTAACCTTATCTGAGTGTGCTCCAGCATTTTGGCTAAACAAAAGTGGTTTCTGACATTTGGTACTTGAGGTTCCCTAATATTGAGAGCAATGTCCTACAGATAATTACTTTCTTTTTTATTTTTTTAATTCGCACCGTGAGATCAAGAGTTGGACGCTTAACTAACTGAGCCACCCAGGTGCCACAAATAATTCCTTTAAATAAATAATGACGATAGAGGTGCCTGGTTGGCTCAGTCAGTAGAGCATGTGACTCGATTTCAGGGTTATGAGTTTGAACTCCATGTTGGGTGTGGAGATTATAGTGATAGTAAAAGCATTCATGGGATAGACAGTGATTTTGGTAATGTTAATAATTACTATAGACTATTCTTTCAATGCTTTCAAGGTAAAACAGCTGACCAAAACAGAAACCAAGAATCCTCCAAATGCTAGAGGAAGATCAAATAAGAACTGTAAATGGAAGGAGTTGTTGGAGCATGAACCTAAATCTAAGGTCAGAATGGAGCACTAAAATAAAAATTGATTTGAAAGAAGTTATACTAAAATGTTGGCTTAAACTATGAGGGGATGTCTGAGACAAATATGGACTTGTCCCTAAGTATAAAGGAAATCCAACTTTATAAAGGATTTTAAACAAAAATAGTTCTTATAAAGCCAGGGGCAGTAGTCACATGACATGGAGAATAGCCTAGATCCCTCATAAAATAGTGCTCTGAGAATAGGAGGCTGGATATGTTTCTAATTTGTCAAATTACCACATAGACTCCCCCAAAATTATTAGTGAAGGTAGGCTGGTCTAAGTGGACTATATAAATACCCCACCAGAGAAATGGGTTAAAAGCCTGGCGCTAATTTCACCAAGTGGCAAGTTTTTCAAGATGCCCAGGATAATTTCTAGCTATTACAAGATATTTACCAGTGTTATAATCTGAAATGAAAAAATGCTTATTTCTTTACAGAATAATCTCAATATATGGTCAGTGACAGCTCATTTGTCTATCTGATGAAACTTCATAATACCTATACACAGTTCTCACCTTATACATTATCCCTAATTTTTCTGCCAGTTTGTTAGACTTAAATAAAACCATTTAGAAAATAAATCCACTTTCTTTGCTTCTGGATAAGTTGGAAAGTTAATGATCCCTTACCTGTGAGAGGTTCCACTGGGGCTGTTGGGCTTGCGGCAGGCCAAACTTACTCTGGGGTGCACCCATCTGTCCCACCATTCCTCCTTGGGGGCCAACCACATTTGGAGGAAGTGGCATCACACCAGTCTGTGCATTTCCCATAAACCCATTGGGCATGGGCATGCCCACCATCATGCTTGCACTTTGTCCCATCACATTTCCTAGAAGGCCAGGAGCTGCAGGTGCAGGCACAGGCACGCCCATTGATGGAAAACCTTGAAATGCAGTCGGTGCTTGTGAGGTAAATGGTATATTTGTGGGTCCCATAAACACACCTGTATTTTAAGAGCCATGAAAAGAAAATGAGGAGAACAGGACTATTGTATATAGCTGTACTCACCTCCATAATCACAGAAAAAGGATCACCATCTTTCTGAACTACCTACAGTAAAAATTTTATTTCCAGTCTGCTCCTACTGCTCAGACCAATTCACATACCAGTACCCTCAGAGCTGGTTACTTCTGGAATGCAGTTACAAACCTGAGCAAATTTAATTAGAATAAATAAATTTTATGCAATAATTATATAAAATATCCAAACTACGCAGCAGGATTATGTGCTGTTTGTGTTGACATGCACTACTGGTCTTCCACTATCAAACACATAAGTGAGATGATGATGTCTGCCTTTAATAGAAGCAGGTGGGATGCCCCATAGTTTCAGCTCACTATTTTAGAGGAAATGGGCTCAACAGATCATGTAAACAACGAATCTTACTGTGCAGTATTTCATTATAATAAAACCTCAAAGTTTAGTAAGTCATGTGATAATTCACTGATTGTTTACTTACAGAGAATATACCATACTGTACACAAAGTTGTAAACTTCATGCAAATCAAAATAATTCTTAAAAAAAATCCATGTCCTATAAGCTTGTGAAACAATATTAAGTGATATGTGAAGAGCTTGTTAATCCTAAGTGAATAAAGTTTTGTGACTCCTGTATATGCTTTTTAATTCTAATGCTTCATTTCAATTTTGTAGTTGCATAAATTGCAACAGCACTTATTATGTAGAAAAATAGGAAGAAGTAATATAACACAAAGGGTATACTTTTAGTAATGTCATTACAATTCATTGACAGCAGATCTCAAAATGAATTACCAGGAGTACTCTGCTGCTGAATGGTTCCTGTACCATACAAAGATAAGATGGAGTCTTTGGAGAGTTGTTTCTTTGCCACCTCTTCTGACTTTGTAGCTTGCTCAGTGAACAGATCCAGATCCCCAGATATTACCGTAGACAGAGTGGCAGCTGCAGGTATAGAGGGTGTCCCCTGAGACAAATATCAAAACAAGAGGTCAGATTCTGCATACTAAAACAGTTCATCTGTTGCTTAAAATCTAAATGAAATTAGAATTTAAACAACTGTAGAAGGCGATATGATGACATTACAGAGGATCATTCACAAGCCCACACAAAAACAACATCCTGGATGAAGGTATACTGTTTCCTGTTTTGAAGTTGTTAATGTATGAGAGGCAGATTGAAGTTCTTTCATAATAAATGCATTTATTTGCTAAACTGATGCTGAGTTTTTGCTCATCACATCCTGACCATAGCGGGTTCGATAACAGGATGTGATGGCTTTGTAAGGACCACCATTCCTGAGAGATGCTGGGGCATCCCCTTTGGCAACTACTACTACAAGGAACTGCTTTCTCTTGGAATAAAGCACGTTGCTACAATGACAGCAGGCTCCAAGAGGGTCATGCAAAGGCTGATTTTTGTCTACTTTGAAAAAAGGAAAAGGTCTTTTCA